GGTCTCGGCATGGGCAGAGGCCGAATGGATTCCAGGGGATGGACCCTTTGCATTCCTTCTGAAGTGATTAACAAGTGGTGCATTAAATGCGCAGGTCAGTCGGCGCATTTAATGCCTAAGCACGTCGTGCAGGCCATCATTGCCCAGACTTATGCGAGGCGTCGCTTCGTTTCGTCAGATGAAACTACGGCCTCTGGATTTCCGACACGTCATCGTGCTTACGATTTGTACGAGCCATCATTTTGCCTCGCCAATCGAAACGTCGGCCCCTAGGTTTCAGACATATCTTCACGTGCTCCGAGTGCGTTGTCAGGCCGTTTCGTCTTTCGAGAATCACACCTCTTGTTTTGAATTCCAGCGCTAGTATAAAAACCCTGCCTTCCTTCATTTTTCTTCACGCCTTCAAAATCCTTAAGTCCACGCTCCTCAAAAGTTCACTCTGAACTCCCTAGTTTTCTCAGCCTTCTCTCTCTGATTCTGAAACTCTCCTCTTGCTTAGTGACCTCTTTACTTGTCTTAAACATTCTTGAGCCTTTCGTTGATTCCTGGGCTTCGTTCCTCCTCTACCTCTTTTCTCCTTTATTTTAACCTGCTCTAGTGGCCCCTATTGTAGCCCTTCCAAAACCGGGGAGCCATATCCGCTGAACCTCGCGACTTGGTAGTTTGGCCAGAACCAGATGGCTCTTCCTCTCCTGCTGTCCACCAATTGTCTTTCGTCTTGGAAAGTCGACGTGAGCCAGAACCAAAATGCGGCCGAGATTCCTTCCCAACCCTGGAGGAAGATGACCTTCCTCCCTATGAGGCCGAGGAGAAACTGCAATGCGATTGATGAAGATGGGAGGGCCTGGTATGATGATTCCAACGTGGCTGTGTTAATTCGGCTGAGCACCTGGGTGGCACCCATGGCCGGAGTGACGGCCCAGGCTTCGCTCAGTTACGTTCATGCCCAGAATGACGGCCTTGGCCATGGCCTGAGTGACGACCTTGGCTCCAACCCGGCTGCACCCATGTCCAGAGTGACGCCCCCTCCCCTGGTTGGAATGACGGCCCCGGGTTCACCTGGTCGTACCCGTGCCCTGAGTGACGCCCCTTCCCCTGGCCGGAATGACGGCCCTGGGCTCACTTGGTCGTACCCATGTCCTGAGTGACGCCCATGGTGGGGCCGTGGTTAGTGAAGATATGGGTGGTGGAGATATTGCCTCAGGAAGAAATGTCTGCCTGTCCAGCAAGGGGACCACGAAGCTGATGTTCGTAGACTTAGGATGTAATCTTTTCTCATATGTATATCTATATGTTGTAATCGGCCATGACCTGGCTGTTCCTTTGTAAACTTGACCCCTTTTTAAACTAAATGAAGTATGATTTCTCTTTCCTTCTGTCTGAAAGCATGCTTTTTCTTTCATCTTCGTTGTGTTGTTTACTTCCAGTTGCAAAACCTCATAACCCATTCTCGGCCATCTCCCATAATGACGGGGTATACTTCTTTAAATACTGGCCGTTTATTGGTAGGTTGTGCCATTCTCCATTTGCAAAACCACATAACCCATTCTCGGCCGTCTCCCATAATGACGGGTTATACTTCTTTAAATACTGGCCGTTTATTGGTAGGTTGTGCCATTCTCCATCCCTATCCCTTAACTGGAATGCGCCTCGGCCCAGGATTCGTTCAATAATAAACGGCCCCTCCCAGTTAGGTGAGAATTTGCCGAACCGAGGGTCCTTAGTCCCGATAGGAAGCACGGCTCGCCATACCAAGTCGCCTTTGGCGAAAGTCTTTTGCTTGACCTTTCTGTTACAGGCCCTTGCCGCGATTTGCTTCTGTGCCTGCATTAGGTTATAAGCATCGAGTCTGGACTGCTCCAAGTCTTCTGACTCCTGAGCCATAGCTTGTGCATAGTCATTCCTTTCTTCACCAGGTTGCTCGTTCACACGGAGAGACCGAACCTTTAACTCCATTGGAACGATGGCATCATGACCGTAGGTTAAGGCATAAGGAGATGTGCCCGTGGCCGATCGTTTTGAGACTCGGTAAGCCCAAAGGGCTTCAGGGAGTAAGTCGTGCCATGCCCTAGGTTTTTCCTCAATCATTTTCTCAAGGATGCCCTTGATTACCTTGTTGCTCACCTCGGCTTGTCCGTTAGACTTGGGGTAGTAAGGTGTTGAGTGAACCAATTTGATCCCCATTTTTTCGGTGTACTCCCGGGTCTCGGCCGATGGGAAAACTGGGCCGTTGTCGGCCGTGATAGTTTCAGGTATACCGAACCTATGGACGATGTGTTTCTCGAAGAATTTGACTACCTGTGCGCTAGAAATTGACCGATAGGACTCCGCCTCGACCCATTTAGTAAAATAGTCGGTTGCCACCAAAATCCATGCATGTTGGTTGGACGCGGCCGAATAGATTTTGCTGATGATATCCACGGCCCAACCCCTGAACGGCCATGGTTTAGTAACCGGGTGGAGGGCTTCAGCCAGTACCCTTTGTATGGGGCCGTAGATTTGACATTTGATACACCCCTTCACATACTCTATGCAATCTTTTAAAATGGTCCGCCAGTAATAGCCGTGCCTCCGAACCAACCACCTCATCTTGACGCCAGACTGTGAGCGCCGCAAATCCCCTCGTGAGATTCGGTCATGATAACCTTGATGTCTCTGGCGCTGGGACACAGGAGCAATAAGCCGTCCGATCCCTTTCGATACAGCTCGTTTTGATAAATCAAATAACACCGAGCCTGGAA